CCTGGCCACCAGAACCTGGGGCCCCAGCACTGGGGCTGCTCGGGACGATTCCAGGGGCAGCACGCCACTATCAAGGATGCCCTGATTCTGGTTGACAGGATGGTCACCATGGCTCAATGACGTCACTTATCTCTGTCACCTCAAAGGAGATACAGGGCTTCTGCCCAGCATCTGATTATTCAAATCAACAGACGGGATTTTTGGAGGAAACAGGTCATGAGTCATCTGCCCCCCTGGATGGGGCGTCCCTCCTGCGGGCCCCCTACAGCGCCTGCACCAGCCAACCCCCTGGAAGATGGCTTTTTGTTGTTCTCGAGAACAGGTCAGAACCAAGGTGGAAATTACCGTTTTGTCCCAAGAATAGAACCGCCTTGTCCGGTCCAGCCTCCGACATCTGACCAGCCGATTTCTTTTATCTAACGAGCAAGCAGAAAACAAGACGGTCGACAAGAGACAAAAGGGGACTTGGCTCTACGAGCAGCCGCGACCTGGGCGCCTCCAGGGCAGCTGAGGTGCGATGCGCGGCGCCGCGGGGGCCAGCGCCCTACGCTGAGATCTGGCCGCTCAAGGAGCCAAGCCCTGCGGCCCAATGTGTCTCTGCACCTGTCTTGCGCCAGCCAAGGGGTCGGGTGGACACCTCAGTCGGCCATGCTCTACCGCTGGGATGGAAAATCAATTAAGATCACTTACTTTAAAGGACATAAGATTAAAAGAAAATGTCTTTAATTGAAAACCGAAAAAGAAAAGTAGCAGTGCAGATGCCGCCGGCCAGGTGTCTGCACCCGCCATCCCCAACCCCCCGCGCCAGCCCTCTGTGCCTCACCTGTGCCCTTGGGGACCTCTGCACGTCACCACTTCACACACCATCTGTACGCTGACGCCGCCCCAGACGTGTCCTTCACCCACACCCCATGAAGACCTGGCTCACGACCTGTCTGCTCACGGGCCCCTTCTCTCCGACGCCCCCGACACCCCGGACTAACATCCCCAAACCTCAGCGCCTGCCACATTCCCCGTGTCCACTCGGGCCAGACATGGCTCGTTCTCGACTCCCTCAGTTACCCCCACGTGTGCTGAGCAAGTGAATCTCATCGGCCCCGCCTTCGCCACACCCCCACGGCCCCGGCTGAACCAGGCTCCGCACCCGCGGCCTCCGTTACTGGGGTGCTGTGCCCCGCCTGCCTCTGCCCTCTCCACGTGTCCGCGTGGCCATGCTCCTGCTTGAAACCCGTCTTCTCAGAGAGAGAGCCAAACCCCTCACGACTGCCTTCAAGGGACCTGGTCTATCTGTCCCCTGCCCCCCACCCTCCGCTGCAGTCATGTGAACCCCTCCAACCTCTGAACACCTCAGGCCTCTGCCCTGCCCTCTGTCTGCCTGGGACAGTGTCTGATGTCCCCGTGGGCCACTTGCCCACCCCTCGACCTTGAGTCTGAGGACACCTTCCCTCAGCACCAGTCTCCAGCGTCTCAGCACAGACCACCCTGGGGACACCAACTCTTCCGTGCACCCCCAGCACTACGCACCCCCCCAACACGCTGCAGCAATGCAGCCCTCCACACCCACTGCCCCTCTCTCCCTCCCTCCCTGAGGTGAGGCCTCTCGGCAGCCGTACTGGGCTGCCTGTCACTAACGGAGGCCCAGTGAGTGGGCACCGGGTAATGGGGGATGGCTCACTCGGCCATACGTGCGGGAGTGGCAGCGGCACCTCGGAGTCTGAGACCCTGCAGAGGGGACCACGGTCCGGGCAACGTCTGTGCCCGGTTTTCCCGTAGGGAAGGTGGGGTGCTGTCTCAGGCTTGCCATGTGTCTTAACTGGGTTCACAAACAGTGCCCCCCACAAGCACAGTCACACCCGTCCCCGGGACGTGGCCCTGAGCAGCAGCCACTGTGCGCCCCCGGCACGGCCCCGACTCCTCCATTTCCCCGCATGCTCCCCACTGGGACGTCCCTTCGCCAGGCGCGTCCTCAGGGCCCCACCTGGCCTCTGGCGAAGCCTTCGAAGCCATCGTAGATGGCGAACATCTTGTGCCCATTGGAGATGCCGACGCGCACCGCCGAGCGCACGGCCGCGTTCATCCCGGCGGCCGGCGCGCCCACGTTGATGATGCCCACGTTGTGGCTGCTCTGCAAGAGAGAGGCTGATGGAGCCGTCAGACGCCGCCAGCGAATCGTGTCATCAGGCCCATCTGGAGGGGCCATGGAGGGGGCTGTCGCCCACCCCCCGTGCCAGACACGAGACAAAGGCCACAGTTCCCAGGCCAAGAGGGGGTCCAGCAGGACCAGAGGCACGCGCAGCGCCATCACTCACCTTGGGGATCTGGGAGTCCGGCATCTTGCTGGCGAGCCGCTTGTAGATGTTGAGGTTGTCCTCGAAGCTCCTGGAAGAAGACCAGGGTCACGGCGAGGACCGGGCAGGCAGGCGCTGCGCGTCCCTGGGCAGGGGACCGCACGGCGGCAGACCCTGCTAGCCCTTGCGGGGACACAGCGCTGCACGGGTCGTCGTGAGGACGCACACCGAGTCGATGTCCAGTTCTCTCTGGCCAGCCACGGGCCACTTCCTATCTTAACGTCACCAGATCTGACTCCCTCTCCCAAACAGACAAACTGCTGCCTCTCACAGGGACGGACGCACAGCCAGGCGGTGGGCACACCTTCCCACGACAGCCCCTGCACAGTCACCTTCCTCGGAGCTGCACGGCGTCCTTGAACCTCCTCTCGTCCATCGCCTTCTGCACGTCCTGGGTCTGTGCGGGGTGACAAGAGGGCGGTGGCAGCGTCAGGGTCAGCACGTCCTCACGCCTGGGGCAGACGCAGCACAGCTCCGGGCCTCCCCCTGGCCCCACAGGCCAGCAGCCTGGGCACTGCACGTCTACACCAGGCTGCCGCCAGCCTACCAGCACCAGCAGTGAGGGACATGCCCGTCACCGCCTGGCTTGGGCCGCTTGGCACAACAGGACAGGATGACCCCACCGGCCACACTAGGGCAGACTGAGATCTAGGGACTATGCTCCAGGAGACCAGAGACAGAAGGAAATGCACGTTGCAGACACAGTTCTGACAAACGCAGGCTTGACCCCGATGAGAATAAAGCAGCCGAGACAGCTGGCCCAGGAGCTGCGGGACTGCGTGGGGCCGCAGCGCACAGAGCGGAATGGCCTGGAGGTGACGTCCCTCCAACCTGCAGGGCTCCAGAAGCCGGGCTGTGTCTGCATGTTGGCCTCTGAAGGAACAGATACACACAGACACACAGTCACGCACAAACACAAATACGTGTATACACACACACAGTCATGCACATGGACACAACCAAAAACACATACGTGTACACACACAGTCACGCACACACAGACACAAAAGCACAGTCACACACAGACACAGTCACACAGACACACAAAAACATACGCAGATGTACAGACCATGGACACAACCAAAAACACATACGTGTACACACAGTCACGCACACACAGACACAGTCACACAGACACACAAAAATATACGCAGACGTACAGACACAAACACGCATACACACAATCACAAACCAAATACATGTACGCAGACGTACGCACAAAGATACAATCAGACACCAATATGTATACACAGTCATACAGAGACACACGCACACAGACACGCGCAGTCACGCGCATGGAGGCTTCACCCTCCCGTGGGCTCTTAGCGATGGCGCACGCAGGGCTCCTTCCGACAGCCCGTGGCTCCGTGGCCTAACCGCCTCGCGGCACGCGTTACAAAACATGCACGCTTCAGGACCATGGGCAAGGGCAGGGAGGCGACAGTCATGGCGACACTGACGAACACAAGCGCGAATCCATTCTCTCCATCCCCGACACGCCAACAGGAGCCCTCATGGATCCCCACAGGCGGGACTCACTTTCAGGGGTGGTCACATGAGGTGCCACAGAACTGAGAGAGGGCCAGGGGTCAGAGGCCGCTGCCGCATGGGCAGCTCCTTGCATCCTGAGAAAAGTCATTTAGCCCCGGGGCGGCCCAGGGCCACTGCCGGCAGCAGACGAGGGGACGAGGGCCCCGTCTCACCGTCTGCACGCACTCCATCAGGGGTAGTCGCACGGCCTGGTTCCCGCTCAGTGACACCACGCACGCCGGGGTCTCTGGGGTGGCCTGCAGGAGGGCGACGACAGCCTCCACTCCCATGCGGCTGGCCTGCAAACGACACTCAAGAGAGTCGGACACAACCCACGCTCCCGCCGGAGACCCCCGGGTGGCCCCAGGCAGAGGTGTCCACGGCCCCCATCTCCCAGGACAGAACCCCAGGCAGTCTTCCCCACAACGACCTCCAATGGAGACAGGTGGGGCGGGGAGGGAGAAGCTGTCAGAGGCTAGGGCCACCCTGTGCTGCAGGTGGCACTTCAGCCGATGGTGCCGCTGCACAGGTCAGCGTGGCCTGCTGGTCCCTTCGCACTCCCCAAACGCCCCTTCCTGGTGAATCTGCAGGCAGTTTCCACCCACACTTACCAAAATCCTGTCGAAGGCCGAGGGTGTCCCACCTCTCTGCACGTGGCCGAGTATGGTCACACGTGTGTCATAGCCCAGCTGCTTCACCACCAGCTGTGGGGAACACATGTGGGCAGGTCAGGGCCCACGAGGGACAGGGGCTGGGGGCTGACCAAGGGTTTTCCACTCTT